ATGTCAGTTCAAGCTGTAAAAGATATAAGTGATGTTTCTTTCTTACATTCAAATATCTTCATTGATGTTGAGAATGTGTTGATTATCATAATCACAGCTTGTATTGCCTCACTTCAGAGCTCTTTCACCAGCTAACTATTAAATAGCAAGCTTCTCATCTTCTCAGCTACAATATAATTAACATGTTTCATGAGACTATTCAATTGCAGTGTGTCAGAGATAGTCATTTCATATACTATTTCTTTACTCTGACAGTAGGTCTTAAGGTCTTGACCTTTGAATTCCTCTTCACTGTCTCAGTGTAGAATTTCAACTTGATATTATATAGTTATCTCAATATCTGCAATGAAATTCATTAATCTCACAGTAGATTTCTCTTTTGACATTATTAAAATCACTCATATATAGCAGGTTGTGTTATCTGTGATTTCTAATCAATAGCTTGCATCTCTTCTAGTGAGTATATCATTCTCATTAAAAAGTGTTTTTCCATTCTCTGCTAAGTAAATGAAGAATCTCATTTCTGATTTGATAGCTTATGTCATAGATGCAAAGATTGAATGTGTCATTTTTACTTAGACACAGATTTTGTAAAATAGTAAAGCTTGTTGACCTATAATTCTCATTCTCAGATGTGAATCTGCTGTCATTTTCATAATATTCACAGAATTCAGATGTTCTAGCTTTTGATGCCATTGCATCATTATAAGTTTCACAATCTTTGTGTCATTCTTATCAGATAGTGTTAATATTGCATCATTACTCTTTATCTGCAGTGTATTTACAGGTTCAAAATCATCATTAAGTATAGTGAATCAGATTAAGTCTCTGTATATAACTGACTTTTCTATCTCATAGATATTCTTATCATTCAATCTTGCAGTAAATGAGAACATTCTATTAGAAGACATAAGTAATATAGCATGATTATTTTCATATGCCAGTTGTTTGAAGGTATAACCTTGATGTATGAGCTTACTCATGCTCATAAGGTTCACTTTCAATTTTGAAATGTAACAGATGCTGCTTAGCAGCATATTCACTTCTTTAACAGATATCTTGATACTCTCTATAGTTATAGCTGAGTAGACTGATCATGTAACCGTGTCTGAGATCAGAATCAAACTTTACAGTTATCATGTTGCTTAAAAGCATTACTTCTGATCATAATTTATATTCATTACATTGATTTCAAATCATGTTATTTCAAATATTAAAGGTCTCAGATTCACTTTTCAAATAAAAATCTAGTCTCAGATAAAGAATATATTTGAATTCTTAGTTACATTTTCATTCTGATTTCATTATTAAGAATAACATTAAATGAGATTATGAAATCATTTCTCACTTACATAATATTATAACATAGTGCTCATTTGTTAAAAATTCAATAGAGAGTATTATTAAATATTATTACTTTTCTGAATATAGATTATAATTCATATAATTTTAATTATGAAAAAAATATAAAATATAAAAAAAAAACAAAAAACAAAAAATAAAACAAAAACAAGAAAAAATCACAATAAAAAAAGAAAAAAAAAATAAAAATAAAAAAAAAAAAAATAAAAATAAAAAAATAAAAAATAAAAATAAAAAAAATGAAGATTGCAGAGTCACAGCACTTTTAAAATACTTACTTCTCAGAGTTTTTATAATGTTTATTATCAACTATATATCTCTTACAGTGAGAGTAACACAGCTGTGATTAGACTGACTGTGTGACCGTGTCTGGAACCAGGACCAGATTTTTTGATAGTTTCATTACCAATTCAACTGATCTCATTACTAGACTGACCGTGTGACCGTGTCTGAGACCAGGACCAGAATTTTTGATAGTTCCATTGTCAATTCGACAGATCCCATTACACAGTTCTAACATTAGATAGTAGTCTCATACTGTCTCAGTGAGACTTACTGTCTACTCTTATCACATTTTCCAAATGAGACCATGATTTTCACTTCTCAATTTAAATTATTTTTATTGCTTTAAATAACTTTAAATCTCATTTGAGTGTTATCAAAAAGCGTTACTTTTTAAAAAATTAAAAATAGTCTAAAAAAAACCTTAAAATGTCTAAAAATAGTAACTTTATGCCAAGAATGAGACTAAATGAGATCAAATGGGACCACTTTCTCATTTTTTTCAAGTTATGGTTTCATTTTGAGATCTGATATATAGTCACTTTGCATGTTTTTTTAATAGCCAGTCCCAGCGGGATTCACGCCAAGAAATGTATGGGATCAGATCAAATGGGACCAAACGTGAAATTCATGGTCCCGGCGGCCAGTCTACCCATTACACGGTTTTAACATTAGATAGTAGTCTCATACTGTCTCAGTGGGACTTACTGTCTACTCTTGTCACATTTTCCAAATGAGACCATGATTTCCACTTCTCAATTTAAATTATTTTTATTGCTTTAAATGACTTTAAATCTCATTTGAGTGTTACCAAAAAGCATTACTTTTTAAAAAATTAAAAATAGTCTAAAAAAAACCTTAAAATGTCTAAAAATAGTAACTTTATGCCAAGAATGGGACTAAATGAGATCAAATGAGATCACTTTCTCATTTTTTTCAAGTCATGGTCTCATTTTAAGATCTGATATATAGTCACTTTGCATGTTTTTTTAATAGCCAGTCCCAGCGGGATTCACGCCAAGAAATGTATGGGATCAGATCAAATGAGATCAAACGTGAAATTCATGGTCCCGGCGGCCAGTCTAGCTGTGATAAGTTATTATCTTAATATTATCTAATAAATAATCTGTATATATCTGTATAAATATGAATAATTAGAAAATATAAACTTAAAAAGTATGATCAGAATGAACTCTGCTATCACTTGAATAATATCAAGAACAGAATACTGAAATCAATGATTTCTCTTATTAATTTCACAGATAAGATATGTGAAGATAATCTTGAGAAATATAAGATTTTCTAACTTCTGATAAAAACAGATCTCATAGAGAGACTCTATTTTTATAATATCAGAGACTGAGTATTATTAAAAAGCATTACTTTTATACAATATATATATACTTACTGCAGTAATTCACTCTCTGTATATATAATTAAGTGTTGCAGCTTTCTTATACTGCACAGCTCTCTCTGAGATACTGTTATTAATTTACAACTTATACAGTCTCTCAGTTCAGTATACACTGTATGTATACAGTTCTATATACTGAGACTGTGTTGATTATTATAGTCTGACATAATACTTACTTTTCATAGATTATGTTTTGTTTGAGAAGAGAGAAAAAGACACAACTGTTATTTTATTAAGAAGAGAATGAATAATTAGTATTATTGAATATAATTTAATTCATCTATATTTAAAATTTGATTAGTCTATACTCTTCAATTTAAGAATTTCTAAGAGTGTTTTAATAGTTTTCATATTAGCTTGAACTTAGTGATGAGTTGAAGAAGAAGAGAAAAGAGAGAAGAAAGAAATGAGAATAACTTATTATTATTATTATTATTATTATTATTATTCTTTCATTATACTCATATGCAAGCGGAGCTTATAATGAGTTCTTGTGTGATGTTAAATACAGGTCAAGTGTTGATTATATAAAAGGAAATACAGGTGTTGAGATCATGCTAAGATAATAAGAACATAGGAAATACAAAGAAGTGACAATTAGATACATGCAATAATAACTTCTCAGCTCAGGAATATAGAGTGATTTTATTGAAGTGATTTATACATCTCTGTATTTATTAGAAACCTGAGGTGCTTGAGTTCCGGATTTAATATATTCCCTGCAGGTTTCGAACTCACATGCCTTGATTTCCCATGTCAATATGCTACTGAGTGACCGCATTAATCATTCAGTCACTGAGGCGAGAATAACTTATCTTTATAATATGAAAACAGAAAATCACTGCAATCATTCTCTCTAGTAATAAAGATCTGTTTTCTGCATGTATCTCTGATATAGATTATATAATAAATGTATACAAAGAATATCAATAGTGTATGCATTGAATGAAGATAATGTTACTATGTAACACTGTAGCTGTTTCTGTACATCTCTGAAAGCTGTTAATAGTTTCTTTATCTCTTTATATTTAATAAGTTAATAATATATTCTGATGCACTTTTTCTTTCATCATTATTATTATTATCATTATCATCATCATCATTATTATCATCATTATTATTATTATCAGTATTATTATTATATCATTGCCTGTCTTCACCTCTCTCTCAACACTTATTAAAATCAATTATGTTATTTCTCTTCAAATATTCTGCAGTTCTGTGAATTATCAAGGCATGTAAGTACTGTCACAGATTGAAGAGAGAGAAGAAGAAGATGTTCAAGTACAGAGAGACAGATTGTAAGACATATTATAATGTCTTGAAAAGACTCTGTAAGAGAGTAGAATAATAACAATTTTAAGTAACACTTCTAATAGATTTAGACTGAACTAAGTATAGAAATAATATGAATAATACTGTCTGTGAGAGATTGAAAAAGAAGATAGTGAAGAGTTGTGATTCAAAGATTGCTTAAGTCAGCGTACAATTACAGGCGTACGCCGGCTTCTTATATATTGTAATATCATATGCTAAATTAATTAGTGGCTGCTATGACCCTCTTTACATTTATACACTAGTAGTTCAGAAGCAGCTGTGTTATTATCTGACAGTTGTACATTCTTTCAAATCACATTCTCTCTCATCAGATTTGGTCACACTCATATGATCATGTCATACATTCTAGCTTCATGCGGATTAGCTTGTCACTAGTGTTTCACAATTGTGTGATCTATTTCTGATTCAGCTAGCATTCTGTATACACTCTCACAAAGAAACTTTCACTATATTATATTACTTATTCACTAACTTTTCTTATTCTTCAATCATCATCTTCATCATTATTATCATTAAATGTTATTATCTCTTTCAAGATTTCTACTTCTTCTTCTGTTCAACTCTTTTCATCTGTTCATCTATCACATTATATGCATTTCTGACAATGGCTCTTCATTCTCACAACAAGTGTTCTCATAGTACTCATATCAGACAGTTCATTAGCAGTAAGTGTAACACATTGTGAAATATGATCAGAACTTATTTATCTTCTAACAATCACCAGAATATACTATCATGAATGACATATCTTCTTCATCTTCTCATATATTCTCAACTATTTCCTTCTCAGTGAGTTTCTGATCATGTTTTCTGACACAATTTTGTGTGAATGCAGATGCTGATATGTTGTCTTTATTCACATGGAATTTTCACACATTGACAGATCTGTATCTGCTGATAATAGTGAACTCAATGTTGAATCATTGATTCAGAACTTAAAGAATGTGATAATGAAGAAATTACTCATGTCATGTATGACTGAGTCTTCTGCATCTCTCTCTGCTTTCTCTGTTTCTTTCTCTGTCACTTCTTCTCAATCTTCTACACCTGTCTCTGTGTCTGGTTCTCCCGCTTCTGCTACCCCTGTTCTCATGACCTCTGGTTTTGCTGTCTCTGCTTTCATTATCAGCTCTTCCTGTTTCAAGAAGATGTTGTATAGGCTCAGTGAATCACATTTCTCAGTGTGTATACTCCCGTCCTTCTTGCCAACCTCTAGAACAATTTATTGTATAAAGACAGTATATAACATGACTATCTGAAGCTCAGTTGTGAATGCTGATTATTATATTTATTTTAAATATTTATAATGAAACAATTGTTCATTCATTTCAGAGAATCACTTTCTCTCTCAACAGTGTTGAGATTGTAAGTCTTTTTCTTTTTATCTTTTCTTTCTAACACTGATTTTCCTATTCTTAGAGGAAATCATTATGGGTTTTATTATGCATGAAGTCATGACATTCACAGATATTAAGAAACTTTTCACAATCATTAAATTCAATATTGTGAATACATCTGCTCTAATGAATATCTTCAGTATGATTAATCTGTATCAGTCTATTCTCTGACATTTGTCATCTGACTTCATGATGCAGGTGAAGAATATTCATGTTTTCAGAAACAGAAACATGAATATCATGCTCTTTTACACCTGCAGATGTGAGGCTCATACACCTTGTCTGAAATATTATTATGAGAATGAGCTGTTTATACACTGCATTCTACTTTCTGTATTTCTCTGTGTTTCTCTCTCTCTTCCTGAGAAGCCTCATGCATGTTGTAATTGTGTGTACAATTCTAAGATCAGCAGATGTTCATTCAGTAATTGTTATCTCTGCTTTTTGCAGTTTCATACACTAACAATAGTTCTTAGTTGCTCCAGCATCAGAGATCATTTTAATTGAAGATGATAACACTGCTGAGACTACTCTCTTTCACTCTTAAGCTTCTTCTATCACTTTCTCTTTCTTCTCTGCAGAGAAGGTTGTGTACACATCAGATCATAAGTGTTCAGCTTCAGATGACTCTCATTATTTATTCAGTTCTGTGTCTCTTTCTTTCATTTCTTCTGTCTCTGTTCTCTCTGCTCTGACTTCTGATTCTGTGAGTCCTGCACTCTTCTTCAATTTCTCTACACATATGCGTACACATTTCTATATTCACATTTCAGCCAATCTTGCAATAAATAGACTGGCCGCTGGGATCATGAATTTCACGTTTGATTCCATTTGGTCTGGTCCCATACATTTCTTGGCGTGAATCCCGCTGGGACTAATCATTAAATAAACATATAAAGTGACTATATATCAGATCTCAAAATGAAACCATGACTTGAAAGAAATGAGAAAGTGGTCTCATTTGATCCCATTTAGTCTTATTCTTGGCATAAAGTTACTATTTTTAGACATTTTAAGGTTTTTTTTAGACTATTTTTAATTTTTTTAAAAGTAACACTTTTTGGTAACACTCAAATGAGATTTAAAGTCATTTAAAGCAATAAAAATAATTTAAATTGAGAAGTGGAAATCATGGTCCCATTTGAAAAATGTGACAAGAGCAGACAGTAAGTCTCACTGGGACAGTATGAGACTACTATTTAATGTTAGAACCGTGTAATGAGATCTGTCGAATTGGCAATGAAACTATCAAAAATTCTGGTCCTGGTCCTAGACACGGTCACACGGTCAGTCTAGCAATAAATGACATTAATGTCATATATAGAGCAGTAGAGAAATCAGAGATGTGTATGACATTGTTATAAGAGCAGCTTGCAGCTCTCAAATCCCTTACAGATCTTGAGTTTTGAGATTTTCTTTGTTTTTGATATTTTTCAGATGATGTGGTGTTGAAAATAGATTAAACATGTGATATATGAAAATGAATGAGATATGTATAATAACATTTATCTTTTACAGCTGACTCTTATAATTGATGATCAATTCATCATCTCTTTTCTTACACTTTTTCTTTATCTGCTAGCCACTACTCTTACACAACCTCTATATAATACAGTGTTCAGTGACTAGATTTGACAGCTTTCATCTTTTGTAATTCTATCTCATACATTATACTGTCTCTCTTCACCTGCTTAGATCACTACAGTGAACAGCTTATCAAAACTAATCTCATCTGATCTCTAAGCATTCTCAGAAATTGAGATGACTTAGTTCTATGTATCTATGAATGTTTCAGATAGTTTATTCTCTGTGATCTCTGTGATTGAACTGATGTAAACAGTTGAATTCAACTCTGAATTCTTTTTTCTTCTGTGACCTGACTCATGTGTAAGTCTGTCACTTTGAGAGTGCTCTTTGTCATGTTGTGTTCACTATCTGCAGCACATTATTATACAATCAGCTACAGTCTTATCACTTATTGAAGTATGATATTCATCTGATTTCTTCATTTCTTCTCATTCTTTTCTTATAATTGTGAAAAGATTGAAATAAGTGAGATTATCTGATTTATAAGTGTCTATGATTTCTCTTACTTTATAAGACTTTTCAATTGTAAGTCTCTTCTTTTTCAACACTGACAATAGTGCTATAGATAATCATAATTCACTCAGATCTTACATCTTTACTTTTATAAGTTATAAATCATTGATTAAGTTACATAAGACCTGTCTCTCTGATTCTTTCAATGTGTACATTCTCAGAGAATGTGATTTGAGTATTTTATATAACTCAAATTATCTAGATTGAAACTTCTCAGAACTCTCATTATATATAAGAACTCACATTTTCATCTTGAGACTTAATTCCTTAACTAGTGAGTCTCATATTCTTTTTGATTGAATTGCTCAGTTCAGGAGTAACTCATTAGCTTTTGCACATGTGTAGCTGATCTCTTTCAATCTTGGTTTCATGTCTGCAACTGTTGTGTCTGCAACTGCTGTTTCTGCTGCATTCACAACTGCTGTTTCTGCTGCGTCCGCAACTGCTCTCTCTCTCATCTTTTTCAAATCATTCTTCGGGATGTGCGGATGCAATTCATACAACAGGTAGAATGATGAACACTTGAAGACTGCATGCTGTTGAATCCGTGTGGTCAATAGCATCTGCCTGAGATATTCATCTCATAGTCTCATAGACTTGCTCACTAGATATTTCATCAGCATGTTGTTCAAGATTTCATTCAAGCATTTCATCTTTCTGTTCATTCATGAATGATATGATATTGTTCTATGATGTCTTGTCTGTAACTGGCTCACAAAATATCTCATCACTTCTCTCACAAGGTTTGCACTGTTATCAGTTAGAATCTCATGCAGTATTTCATAGTTAATATAGATCTCATTGTGTAGAAACTTCACTATCATCTTCTCTATCATCTCTGAAACTGCTTTTGTGACTGGCCAGTCAGTAGTGTAATCAATAGCAGTGATTATTCATTAATTTTCATTTGACATTCACAGTAATATGTCTATGAGATTCATCTCTCATCATTTAAATGATTGTATCATATACTTTATCTGATATTGCACTTTCTCACATTCTAATACTTTCTTAGATTCTTTCATGACCTGACAATTCAGACACTTGTGAGTGTATATCTGAATGTTCTCAGTCATGCTTCATCAGTATACTCTTGATTCAAGTACACTCATGAGTTCAGAGCTTTCTAAGTGACTGAATTTCTTATATATATGAGTCATCAAGTCATGTCTAAATAAAGATTCTAGATAGGGAGCTTCTGCATATTCTAGATCACAATAAAGCATAATATTATTTTTCAATTTTCTCAGCTTGAAGTTCAGAAGCATCTCTTCTACTACTTTCACAAGACACTTGTTATTCAATATCTTATCATTCTTTAAGTAAGAGATCATGATGTTCACTCATTCTGATTCCTTGCATTCTCTCAGCACATTTAATGTGAATATCTCTTATATCTGATTCACAGAACTCTCACTCATGAAATCAGATCTGCAACTGATTGTGTCAGATATCACAGTGTTTAATTCTTTTCAGTATTTAATATGAAGATTGTATGCTTAGAACTCTGAGATTCAATATACTAAGTGTGTGAAAGGTTTTATCATTAATTATAGATAGATGAGACTTTTATAATTCATGATCATTATTATTATATACTTATTGTTGATATATCTATTTCACAATGCCAGCATGTGCTTGATTACTAACAATTTCTTTTCATACACTGAGTAATTGAGCTTAGCATCTGATAGTTTTCTATCATTATATATCACTGAGTGCAGCTTGTTATTCTTACTCATCTGTAGAAGAGTATCTTCAATAGCTCATTTAAATGCATTTATCTCAATGTAGAAAGATTTATCACAATCTGATTAAATAAGCACTGAGAATGTTATTACATGTTCTCTCAGTGTGAGAAAAGCCTCTTTACATGCAGTATTTCAGATGATTGAATGAAACTTCTTCTTTCACAGATTTGTATTTATTTCTCTTAAGAGATCTGAGAGTGATGCAGATATTCATATGAAATTCTTAATAAATCTACAGTAGTATGAGATCAACTCAAGAAACTGTTATACATAATGTATATTTCTCAGCCACAGTCAATTCACTATAACATTCAATTTCTTCAGAATGAGATGTATACAGTCATCACTCACTATATATTCTATGAACTTCAACTCTTTCATTTCAAATACACACTTAATTAATTTGATATAGAGCTTATACTCTGTCAGAGTTGTAAGCACTTCATTGAGATGCTTCAGATATTCATTATATGAGTTTGAAAAGACTAGAATGTTATCAAGATATATAAGATATGAGATTTCATTCTGTTTATAAAGAATTGTATTCATCATTATTTGAAAGATGACAGATACATTTATCAGACTGAATGATATTATCAGAAATTCAAACTTTTCTTATTGTATATTAAACACAGTTCACAGAACTGATAGTTCATCTACACAGATCTGTCAGTATTCTGAGAGAAGATCAATCTTTGATAGATATCAGACATTTTCAACTGTATTCAACTATTGTTGAATCTGTGACAGTGAATATTCATTCTTGATTATAAGCTTATTAAGTGCTTAATAATCAATACACATTCATCACTCCTCACCTGTCTTTTTCATAAATAGAACTCAAAAGCCTCACATACTTGATGAGAGTTGTATGAGATTATATTCTAGAAGGTCAGTAATCTGATGCTTCTGTTCTTTGAGATGTATTTATAACAGAGAATATGCATTCTGATTGACTGGTTTTATATTCTCTGTGTCAATCTCATGTACAAATCCTTGTTCCAGTGGCAATTTCAGTAGAAGATTTGTTCAAAAGATCTTTTCATACTTCTTCAGAAGCTTCTTCATACACTTGTTCTTCTGTATATCTTTTATCTTGATTTTCTTCACTTCTGAGTTCTGTATGACATACAGAATGCTTTCAGATGAGATCTTATAAATTGTTCTCTTTGCTTATTAATGTGTAAGCAGATTTAATTCTTCTATATCAGAGATGTGAAATGTCCTTCTCATATCAGTTAATAGAATTATATGAATCATTTTCTTTCTATCAGTCAACTGCATATAACATGTACATCATTGAATCTGTGAATTGAATCT